CTAACAGAAAAAATGGACCTATATTCTTAATTTTTTGTGGAGTGATTTGGAACTTATTTAGAACTCAAAGTACTTAATTACAGCCAATTCGGTGGAAAAATACGACCAAAACCCCAAAAATACTGAAAATTAGGAGGTACCGTTATATGGGGGCTACCAGGAAAAGTGGGCCTATATTTATAATTTTGTGCAAAATATCAGCACCCTATCTAAATTCCTTCGGAAGCGTGATTACAACAGGCGGACGGACATGGCTAGATCGTCTTAGAATTTTACCCTGATAAAGAATATATATACTTTATAGGGCATACGTGGACCGATATATCCCTTCGTCGAACTTGACCTGCCTGCAGACAAAAGTCAACCCTTATCAAAATTTCAGCACCGTATCTAAATTCCTTCGGAAGATAGTGTGATTACAACAGACGAACGAACATGGCTAGATCGTCTTAGAATTTTACCCTGATCAAGAATATATATACTTTATAGGGTCGAAAATGAATATTTTGGTGAGTTACAAATGGAATAACAAAATTAATATACAATCCATACTATGGCGAAGGGTATAAAAATCGAACTATACTTATCTAATATGCAATTTCAATGACTCGTTGTGCTCTGTCATGAGCAATCACTTTAGGTCCAACAAGGAATTGTTCGTCGACAAGCTAACAAAATAGTTTAAATAGTAACCAATACTTTGGTTTACTTTTGTCAAACTTAGTTGTAGCAAAATACACAACCATATTTGAATTAACGAATAATTGGTCAATGAAACTGAACTACCGTACATATTGCTGCATTTTATTCACAATGCTAATACTAACCTAGAATAAGTCGCGATTTAGTCCAATTCATGTTGCATTGCATTGTAGCGCTGCAAGGTGGGCGGCAATGTTTAGGTTCGATACATTGTTTACGACAATGTATACGTTCGATATGTTGTTCACCCCTTCCGTAGCATACCAATTATTAGTCACATTAATTAGCCACTAATTTGAGTCAATGGGGGGAATGTTCTCTGCTCCTCTTCTAGGAGTCACATTCGCCTGGTGCGGATTGTAGAAGAGAGTATTCTCTCTTTCCAACGCTCTCTCCTAGAAGTCACATTTGCTCAGTTCGGATGCAGAGAGGACTTTCCAGTGCTACGGTCGTCGATGTGATCTCGACCTTGTTTATGCTACATTTCCTCACCGCGACTTCACTTGCAATGTCGCTTTCGATCGAACACGCACGCATTAGGGTAAATTTTTGTTTTTTCGAAACTCAGTAACCTTTTCGAATAAAGTTTGAAAATACATTTAATACCCAAATTGTTCTATTTTGTTTTTCTCCCCCTCATTGGTATCACGCCAACAGATACTGTTCATAAAACATTCTAATTTTGCTGCGTGTTTAGGCAGCTTAATCATATTTCTTTGACGCCGTCCAAAGTGGCGACGACAGGCGGTGGAGTTAACATTGGCCATATATTCCATTCAGCAATATAAACATTTCCAACAGCAGAACTGAATACATGGCTTGCTGTTGGATTGATTTTGGCGTCGTAGGTCAGTTTTTCAGAACAGTAAGAACGCGCCGGTTGACTCCCCCTCCCAGTGATGGTGCAAAAATTAAAGAAAAAAACCCAATAACTTCACAACACAACATACACAAAGAAAGAAAAAACTAAACATACTAAAAATGAATAATTTAAAACATACAAATTAAGTTAAAACCTACTCATAAAAAAACATAAAAACAAAAATTAAAGAAATGAAGAAAAATTATACAAAATTATAAAACCTACTACTACATAAAAAATCTTACATCTATTATACCTCTGAATTAAAACTTAACCTAAAAAAATCATCCTAAGTACATGAAAATTATCCTAATTGTGTAAAACCTAAAACTTATCCTAAGTGCTAAAAATTAACCTAACTGTGTAAAACTTATCCTAAACCTTATCCTAAGTGCATAAAACATATCCTAATTGTATAAAACCTATCCTACAACTTATCCTAATTGTATAAAACTTATCCTAAAACTTATCCTAATCTTAACCTAATATTGCACTATTATAATATTGCACTACAGTGAACCTAAAACCTATGATTGCCTTAAAAATACCTACAAATAAAATTACCTATCTACCTAGCCTATGGTGAACTTAACCTAACCCTGAAATAAACCTAAAATCAAAACGTAAACTACCATTGCACACTTGTAAAAAAATATTCTAAGGTTAAAACATTCTTAAAACTAAAAGTTCAAATAAATTGAAATAAAATCTGAACACTACGAAACAAAGATATATAAAGTTTTAAATAAAATGCAAAGCCAAAAAAAGGGTAAAGTGAAAAACATTGTGGTCCATCGAAGCCGGATTAAAAAACAAAAGTGAGTTTTTTAAATTAATAAAAACAAAAAAGTTAAATTAACAAAAAACAAGTGGCAACAAGTGGAAACAAGGAGAAGCAAGTGAAAAGGAGGAACAACAATTAAACATCACAAGCTTTACAAAACACCAACAACAAAGGCGGACGGACACAGGACCCCCAGCACCAAGACAGCACAACAACAGAGGAGACAACATACCCAGACACAAACCCATTAAAAGTGAGTACCCGTTTAAAGGTTTTTCTTTTTGCGACACGAAGGGTAAAAAGGGCACAGACAGATTCTTAATATTTGTACTGACCCGTATACTCAAGTCGTACATTAGATTAAAAACAAGAATTCGCATGATCTTTGGGCTGCAAGTCGCCGCCAAGACAACAACAAACAAAGACCCGTTGGTTGTAGAAAAATTAGCGGTTTCTATATACCATCTTGGAATTGTGGCAGTATATAAGCGCCATATTTTTTCGTGGAAGTATATGAATCTGCTGAGCATACATATATACGTACACATATACCTACACTTACGCATACATATATACATAAACCCGGTTCGTCGCCATATTGACCCATTATAAAAAAAAACAAAAAAAACTTTTTTGGAAATACATGGTCACTTCCGCGACACGAAGAACATAAGCAGCGTCTGGTGGACAGACATGCACAACCATTCCATAACCTCAAAATTTTATTTAAACCAAATTATATAACCCCAAATTTTGGAAAGCTTCGTTAACCAAGTCTGGTGGACAGACATGCACAACCATTCCATAACCTCAAAATTTTAATTAAACCAAATTATATAACCCCAAATTTTGGAAAGCTTCGTTAACCAAGTCTGGTGGACAGACATACACAACCATTCCATAACCTCAAACTTTTAAACAAACCAAACCTCAAGCAAGTCTGGCGGACAGGCATACCCAACCATTTTAACCTCAAAATTTTACATAAACAGTCTGGTGGACAGACACACATACTCCCAAGCGGATATTCCTAACCCAAGACATTGCAACTTCATATTCATACAAAATTGTGGAAAAACAGGTCTGGTGGACAGACGCACACATGAGCTGAACCAGAAGCCAACAATTTTGAAATTATTTTTGAATACGACATTTTGGGGAAACGAGTCTGGTGGACAGACATCATACACATAATTTTTTTGTTGAACATTTTTATAACCAGGTCATCGAACTGATGTGCTACTCATATAACTCACAATAATTCTTCCTTTGCAGCATTTTTAAATATTTTTTTTTTGCATCTGTCAGGGCCTCTGTAGCCTTGAAGATCTCAAAAAAAAATAATTTCTGTGACCCAAAATAGTTTCTAGCATTTTTTCGCTGAAATATTTTGCTGGTAAATCTTTAAAATGGACAAAACTTTGTGCGATAAATTCGCCAATTGCGTCAATGACCTTCAGGATTATATTTCTATATTTTCTATTACGCACCCACACCCTGGAAACTACTCGGATGGAATTAAACTCTACATGGGACCAGGTTAAGAGGGCTTACGTGGATTGCCGAGACCATACTCCGGAGAAGGAGGAGAAACCCATCGACAAGAACAAGTTAAGGAAACATTATATGGAGGCAATGGACGCTTACAAAAAGGCACTGAGCGCAATAAATTTGCAGATCCAAACAGCACTGGATAACCAAACGTTGGAAAAAACAAAAAGGGAGTCAGAGAGGTCACAGCAAGGAAAGGAGATGGATTTTACGCCAGTATCCCGTCTGCCACCATGCGACACAGACATATTCAGAGGAGGTTACAGTGAATGGCCCACTTTTAGGGATTTATTTTCCGCCATTTACATCAGGAATTCAAAATTAAGCAAGGTTGAAAAATTATTCCATCTGACACAGAAAACTTCTGGAGAAGCAAGAGAGATCATCAGTAACGTTCCGCTCACCAACGATGGATTTGACTTAGCATGGAAAAATCTCATTGATCGCTATGAGAATAAAAGGATGCAAGTCAATGAATTAATCAAGACTCTTTTTAACTTACCAAATGTCTCAACTGATTCAAGTCAGACTATACAGAAGCTGCAGCGCACTGTGAACAGCTGCATTCAAACTTTGGAGACCCTTGATGTCGATGCCAAAGGATGGGATCCTATTTTAATCTATATTTGATCTACGAAACTACCCAGAAATTTCCTGGAGGAGTTTGAGAAGTCACTAACGGATTGCAAACTTCTTCCAAAATGGGAACAATTTGATGCGTTTTTGACAAATAAATTCAAAACAATGGAATCAGTCGGGAATATAAAGCCAACAAATCCTAAAATCAGCCAATCAAAACCAGCTGGTAACAATAAACCGAGATTTTTTAACTCGTTTCAGACGAATGTTTCCAAAGATGGTCACAAATCGGGAGGAAAAGAAACACCCTACAATCAGACTCAAACAAGCAGAACATCTAGTCCCCAACAATGCCCATTATGTAAAGCCAATCACTTCATAAGAGATTGCAATGAGTTTTTGAGAAGGAATGTGAATGATAGAATTCACTTGGTGAAAACATCACACCTATGTTACAACTGTTTGTCATCCAACCATGGAGTAAGGGATTGCAAAAGTCGCTTTGGTTGTCGAACTTGTACAATGAGACACCACACTTTGTTACACAAGGGAACGGAAACCCAATCAACAAACACATACCTAGCTCGAGTGGAAGCACAACCTAGTAACAGTGCTGCCACTCTTACAAATCAAATACAGTCCACAACAAATGAAGAACCAACTACTGTCACTACCTTGACCCTTCAGGATACCCATGTTGATACACAACAATCTGGAGGAACTTTACTTTTTACAGCAATAGTACAAATCGAAGCTAAAGGACAACTCTACGATGCCAGAGCACTCATTGACTCTGGATCACAGTCAACATTTATTTCGGAAAAAATGAAGAACCTTTTGAAACTGCCAACTCGAAGTAACTTGATTCATGTAACGGGACTTAGTCAATTTGTGTCTGAAACTTCAACGAAGTCATGCCTATTCACAATGAGATCCAAATACGACCCTAGTTTCAAATTGGAGGTATGGGCTCCAGTTTTACGAACGTTACCTTCAAATCTACCACCACAAAACTTAGATAAATCACAACTTAGAGACATTACATCATTGGAATTGGCTGACCCGAAATTCTACATCAGTCAACCCATTGACTTACTTATTGGAATGGACATAGGACCATTAATATTCACAATTGGAACACCAATGAAAATTTTTGGATCCATTTTAACACAACAAACCAAATTTGGATGGATCGTTGGAGGACCCATACCCGGAAATACTATACAAAGAAATCCTATTTCACTGCTAAGCACCACAGCAATTGAGAAAGTACTTACACGTTTTTGGGAGGTGGAAGAGACCCCTAAAAAAGTTTTACGGTCAGAGGAAGACCAATTTTGCGAACGAAATTTTAATGAGACAACTATACGGAATAAGGATGGAAGATATGTGGTGACTCTCCCATTCAAAAAATGCGAGGAATTAGGAAATTCCAGAAACATCGCCTTGGCTCAATTCTACAGAATGGAGAAAAAGCTCATGAAAACACCCGAGATAAAGGAACAATATGATAATTCGATACTAGAATACTTAGAGCTTGGACATATGCGAAAAATTCACAAAAATGAAATTGAGAACATGCCAAATTATTATCTGCCACATCATGCTGTAATAAAACCAGATCGACTCACTACGAAGTTGCGAGTGGTGTTCAACGCTTCTTGTCCCTCAGCAAACAAAACAAGCCTCAATGACACACTATTTCCTGGACCCATTTTACAACAAGATCTGGTATTACAAATCTTAAAATGGCGATTTTTTAAATACGTTTTTAACGCAGACATCACAAAGATGTATCGGCAGATACTTTTGGATCCGACCCAAACCAAATTTCAAAGAATACTCTTCAGACAGTCACCTGACGACCCCATCGAAGACTATGAACTACTCACAGTTACATTTGGAGTTAACTGTGCACCATATTTAGCATTGAGGACCCTTCTAAAACTGGCAGAGGACATAAAGGATGTGTATCCAAGAGCCGCAAATATAATTTTAAATAATCTGTACGTGGATGATGTATTAGCTGGTGGTCACACGGAAGAAGAATCCATCGAAGCTCGTAAGGAATTAACTGCCGCTCTAGCCTCGGCTGGATTTCAACTCATGAAGTGGGCATCAAACGACCACAAGATTATTGAAGATATTCCACAAGAACAATTACTACCTCTTAATTGGTTAGACATTTCGGAAGATGCATCCACAAAGACATTGGGAATTAGATGGAATATTTCTGGCGATTTTTTCTCGTTCACACCGCCGGCAATGGAAAATCATAATACCTCAACAAAACGAGAAGTCCTATCAACAATAGCCAAATTATTTGACCCTTGCGGTTGGCTGGCGCCAGTCGTGGTGGTAGCCAAGTTAATAATGCAACAAATCTGGCTAGATAAAATAGACTGGGATGACCCGTTGAAGCCAATGACCCAAATGAACTGGAATAATTTTGTGAAAAACAGCAAAGAAATCGAATTTCTGAAGGTTCCAAGATGGATAAGATTCACTGCAGATGTTTCCGTAGAAATACATGGATTTTGCGATGCTTCGGAAAACGCATACGGAGCTACATTATATATTCGAATCGAAAACAAAGATTCTAGCACTCATACATTTCTATTGGCCGCCAAGACCCGAGTTGCACCAATCAAGAAACTGTCAATTCCGCGTCTAGAATTATGCGGAGCGGTACTACTCTCCAAATTAGCCGCATCCATTATAAAGAACCTGCAAATAACATCATACTCGACACAATTTTGGACGGATTCAACAATCGTCCTTGCATGGCTGAAAAAGCCTCCTTGCCATTGGAATGCCTTCGTGGGAAATAGAATTTCGGAGATTTCTGAGAATGTTGGCCAAGAAAATTGGAGACATGTTGATTCCGAAAGCAACCCAGCCGACATTGCGAGTCGAGGATGTCACCTCAGGATTTAAAAACTCAGGAACTCTGGTGGCATTGACCCCAGTGGCTTAAATTACCCAAGGCTAGATGGCCATCGTATGAAGTTCATGAGGACACGAGTTTAGAAGCAAAAACAGTAAAAGCCTTGACCCTATTTCAAGAAAAGGATGATCCACTCAAAGATTTCTCATCTTTATCCAGAGTATATCGGACCCATGCATACGGTTTAAGATTTTGGAAAAACTCTGGGGAAAACCGGCAACATTTGCGAACATCGGCGACAGATCTTTCGGCACTAGAAGTTCAGGATGGAAAACGGGCTTGCATAATTCGAACTCAGAAGTTCTTTTATCCCGAAGAATATAAATCACTGGAAAATAAGACCCGAATTTCTCCATCCAGCCCACTCTTGACACTTAACCCATTTTTGGACTCAAAAGGGGTTATGCGTTCAAATGGCAGATTGGTACAATCAACTGCGCTCACGTACGGTGAACGACACCCTATATTATTACCTCACGGATCAACACTTAGCCAACTACTTGTAGACTTCACTCACAAAGTTACCCTACACGGAGGTAATCAGTTAATGACTCGAGTGCTAAGGGCCGAATTCTGGATATTCGGTCTCCCGTCGTTGGTCAAAAAGACTATACGACATTGCAAGATATGCATAATCCATAAAAAGCGAACTCAGGAACAAATAATGGCCTCCCTTCCGCCAGAACGAACCCTTTTATCCAGACCCTTCACAAATACTGGAGTAGATTTTGCGGGACCGTTCAACATTAAGAATTTTACTGGTCGCACTTGCTTTTTAACAAAAGGATACGTATGCCTTTTTGTGTGCTTCGCTACAAAGGCCATACATCTGGAGCCGGCAAGCGACTTGTCATCCTATGCATTTCTTGCCGCCTTCTCAAGATTTTTTAGCAGACGCGGATGCCCGTCGACTATCTACTCTGACAACGGAACCAACTTTGTTGGAGCCGTCGATCTGTTAAAGCGGGATCGATTAGCGTTTATGAAAAATTTACAGACCAATATGATCACAAACCATTACCATCAAGATCTCAATTGGAAGTTCATCCCCCCTGGTGCTCCTCATATGGGCGGTCTGTGGGAGGCTGGAGTTAAATCTTTCAAAACTCATTTGCGCAAATGTATGCCAAAAATGAATTTTACGTTCGAAGAGTTTGCTACAATTCTAACACGAATTGAAGCCTGCTTAAACTCTAGACCATTAAGTCCGTCTAGCGAGGACCCCAACGATTTTTCGCCACTGACCCCGGGTCATTTTCTCATAGGCACATCTATCCTTACTCCACCCGAACCTGACATTTCAGATACGGACATTAGTTTAGTTAACCGTTGGAAGAGACTCAAGGTTATCTCGCAGTATTTTTGCAACCGGTGGAAATTAGAGTATCTTCATGAACTTCACCGACGAACTAAATGGAAATACGAGAAAGATAACGTCAAAGAAGGGGACTTAGTGGTGATAAAAGATGACAGGTTAGCGCCCCATGAATGGAAGTTAGGTCGTATAACAAAAACATATCCAGGAACTGACCACAATACAAGGGTTGTCGATATTCGGACTGGTGGTGGTGTAATCAGCAGACCCATTTCGAAGATTGTCAAATTGTTCTCCGACTGACTAGTCGGATCATTACTCACAAGCAAGAACCTAGTACTCGCATTTTGTTTTTCTTTTACAGATATGGCCTCATACCTACCAAATCAAGACTGGCGCTTGCAAAATCGCAGCCGAAGCCCTAGCGTCGCCGAGAGAAGTCCCCAACGACCAAATCGCAGATCCGAACGCCGACCCAATTCCAACGATGGACCGCAGCGCAGCAGATCCGATGCCCGAACATCCCGCCCAACTCACTGGCAATTCTCGTGTGGGCTATGCCAGGCCGATCACGCCCTCAGCTCGTGTCAAGTGTTTCGACAAAAAACACCTTACCAACGGTATGACATCGCAGAGCGCAGGGGATACTGCAGGAACTGTTTGGCCAGGAGCCATCTTGCACCCGACTGTCCCAGTTTAAACGGTTGCCGTCGGTGCGATTATCGGCACCACACTCTTCTACACGGAGCCTCTCAGTTGGATAACTCGTTGCTCGGTGGGGCTATTACAACTCCAGCTTTTTCATGGGACTTGGTCTTCGCGCCAACGGCGATGGTGAAAATTACCGCAGACGACATGGAAGGGTTTGCCACCGTGCGGGCCATTGTAAGCCAATCAGCTACGATGTCGAAAATTGCGTATGCGACCTTTCGCCGGCTAGGTCTGAGATCCTTTACGTATCAGGGGCAAAGGTTTACTACCTTCAAAATACATCCGCGAAGGGGTAACAGTACTTGGGCACTGAAGATAAACGCAATTATTATAGAAGACTTGCCCCGGCGGATATATTCCGATCCCATTTTAGAAGACCCCACGAGAAACTTTTCCGAGCAAGCCCTAGCCGACCCAGACCCCCGCAGCAACGTGCCGATCGATTTGGAATTGGGTGGCGATACCTACAGCGCTATACGAAAAGATGGTTGTACAGCGGCAGGTATAGGTGATGTCATGGCCTATCACACTCGCCTAGGATACGTATTCGCAGGCCCAATGCGGAATATGCCAGCACACTACACTGGGGGGACAGAAAATGTTCATAAAACATTCTAATTTTGCTGCGTGTTTAGGCAGCTTAATCATATTTCTTTGACGCCGTCCAAAGTGGCGACGACAGGCGGTGGAGTTAACATTGGCCATATATGCACTAATACATATATGCGCTAATGGTTAATTCCATTCAGCAATATAAACATTTCCAACAGCAGAACTGAATACATGGCTTGCTGTTGGATTGATTTTGGCGTCGTAGGTCAGTTTTTCAGAACAGTAAGAACGCGCCGGTTGACTCCCCCCTCCCAGTGATCGTGCAAAAATTAAAGAAAAAAAACCCAATAACTTCACAACACAACATACACAAAGAAAGAAAAAAGAAAGAAAAAACTAAACATACTAAAAGTGAATAATTTAAAACATACAAATTAAGTTAAAACCTACTCATAAAAATACATAAAAACAAAAATTTTTTTTAATTATTTAATTTTAATTAGTAGATCTGATTATATAAAAAATGAGCTTAGGCCGTTTAAAAACCAAATGTCTTTTGGGCATTTAAATTGTCAGAGTATTCGACCCTCGAACAATAATACTAAAATTGATGATTTGCGCAGTCTTGTTTGTGAAAGTGGTCTTACTTTTGTTGGTATCTCAGAAACATGGTTAAAGAGCTATGTTTCTTCCAAAGCAGTCACTATTCCTGGGTACACACTTGTCCGAAATGATCGTCCAATGTCGAAAGGTGGTGGGGTCGCAATCTTCATTACAAATCGATTCAAATTTAAAGTAGTTCATCGGTCCTTGGATTTTGGAGTTAGCGAGTCGCTTTTTATTGAAGTTGGCAACGGCTTAGAAAAAACTCTGTTTGGTGTTGTTTATTTGCCTCATGGCGACGTTGATAAGTTCGAAGAAACTCACTCTGACCTCTTCGCTATGTATTGTAATATTATTGTGGTTGGCGATTTTAATTTAAATTTATTTAACATTGCAAAATCAGCTAAAATGAGGGATGTATCAATGAGATTGGGACTTACAATCGTCCATAACACTCTTCCTACCCATTTTGATGTTTCGCATACATCGTCGTCTTTGATTGACCTCATGCTTTTAAGTCGTCCTGCTTCAATTAAGTACTCTGGACAACTTCAATGTCCATCAATCTCTCATCACTCACTGATTTTTGCCTCCATTGATTTTTTATGTATCCTCAAGAAACTTTCGTAGAATATCGTGACTTCAAACATATTGATTGGGATGGATTATTCGAATATTTATCCAATGTTTCTCTTGATCTAGTTTTCTCTTCTTTGGATGTAAATCCACAGAAACAAGCTATTAATGATGTCATGAATGAGTTGTACTCATTTGTTCCCATTATTCGTCGTAGACAAAATTGTAGTATAGATTCATGGTTAAAGTCTAAGGAAATTTTGTTGTCTCGATCCTTGCGTGATATGGCATATTCTGAATATTTGAGGAACCCAACACCTACTAATTGGAAAGTTTTCTGTGTTTACAGAAATAGGGCAAAATCTGTCTTGAGGAGAGAAAGGAGGAAATTTTATGTTAGCATGTTTGATGGTTTAAATGACTCCCAGATTAGGAAGAAAATTCGCGTTAGCGGATCAATGGATGACAACTTTATTTCGGAGGAGATTTCTGTTGATGTTGAAGATCTCAACGATTTCTTCGTTCAACCCCCATCTATGTTAGGTCCTAGGCCAGTGGATCTTACTGGCTATGTTGGTGAGGGTCACGCATTTTCTTTCTCTTGTGTCTTTGAAGAGGATGTTCTTCGAGCTTTGTGTGCCGTCAAATCCGAGGCCGTAGGTTCAGACGGAATTCCTGTAAAATTTCTTAAGATTATTTATCCTTACTTGTCTATTTACTTTCTAAAACTTTTTAACAATATTATAACAACTTCTACTTTTCCTTTATGTTGGAAAAAAGCGCGTGTGGTGCCTATCCCTAATCTTATCCCTATCTTTCGGTATCGAAAATTTACGCCCCATTAGTATTCTTCCCGCATTATCTAAAGTAGCTGAGCATCTTATGAAATATCAAATATTAGATTATATCGAAGACAAGAAGTTGTTAAATGATTTCCAGTTCGGATTCCGTCGAGGCCATAGTACCGTCACACACCTTCTTCGTCTAACCGACTCTATTAGGGAGAACATTGATGTTGGTAATTTTGGTGTGCTTGTAGCTCTTGATTTGTCAAAGGCTTTCGACAAGGTAGATTACATATTGCTAATTGAGAAGTTGAAAAATAATTTTCTGTTTGATAGCTCTGCTTGTAAATTAATATATTCATACCTTTCTGATCGTTCACAGTTTGTTTCTATAAAGGGAGTTTCTTCTAGTCAACGGGATATAAATACGGGTGTTCCGCAAGGCTCCGTATTGGGCCCACTTCTTTTTATACTGTACATAAATGATATAGTGAAATGTATTGATAGTCAGTATTGCCTTCCGTATTTTTATGCAGATGATATGCATTTATTCTTTAGGGATGGGTCAATTACAAATTTAGAGTCTGGAATTAATTGTGCATTAGGCTCGATTAATCGTTGGCTTACTATAAATAATCTTTCGGTTAATATAGGAAAGTCAAAAGCCATGCTGTTTAACCCCATTAGAAATATTGGTCCTACTATTGATATATATATGAATGGTTTAAAGATCGAATTTATTGAAGAAATGAAATGTTTGGGATGTGTACTTGATAATAGGCTTACATTTAGTAGTCATATCCAATCACTATATTCTGCAGTTATACCATATCTACGTAAATTGTATTGCAGTAATATCTATTTACCAAATTTTGTTCGTAAGCGACTTGCTTTTGCAATGCTTATGTCTCGCATTAGCTACTGTCTTGAGTTAGTTTCTGGTAGCAGTCAAGAGAACTTGAAGAAAATTGAGAAACTTTATAATATGGTTCTGCGCTTTGTTTTTCGTTTGAAACGACGGGACCATGTTACAAATTATTCATTGCAGTTTTGGGTGTACCATTTCACATTTACATTGACCTGCGTATATTAAACACATTTTATAAGATAATATGCTCTAATTGTCCGGTACTGCTGCGTAGTAATTTTATTTTTTCTCATTCCACCCGCAACACACAATTACAAATTCCTCGTTTTACATCTTTAATGTTTGAACGATCATTTACGGTTAGAGTTGCCCGTCTCTGGAACCAACTTCCTTCATTTTTGCGTATATTTTCGTACCCTGCTACAATTTTTAAAAATAAGTACATTGCGTTTGCTATAAATCAAGATTGATCTACAATAGGCTGCTTAAATTGTAAATTATAGTAGTTCTTTGCATTGATTTGAACTTATTATTACATAATGTTTTTGTAAATTATTATAATTGGGGAACCAGCTAATTGTTATCAATATTGTTAAGTTTTTATTATTGCTACTGGTTGAATTTCTTATATTGTCGCTATATATATTTGTATTTATTGTAATGTAATTATTAGGCTGGTAACAGCTTCTGCATTGCTTTGTATGAAATAAATAAATAAATAATAAATAAAAAAAATTAAAGAAGTGAAGAAAAATTGTACAAAATTATAAAACCTACTACTACATAAAAAAAATCATACATCTATTATACCTCTGAATTAAAACTTAACCTAAAAAAAATTGCATAAAAATCATCCTAAGTACATGAAAATTATCCTAATTGTGTAAAACCTAAAACTTATCCTAAGTGCATAAAAATTAACCTAACTGTGTAAAACTTATCCTAAACCTTATCCTAAGTGCATAAAACTTATCCTAATTGTATAAAACCTATCCTACAACTTATCCTAATTGTATAAAACTTATCCTAAAACTTATCCTAAAACTTATCCTAAAGCTTATCCTAATCTTAACCTAATATTGCACTATTATAATATTGCACTACAGTGAACCTAAAACCTAAGATTGCCTTAAAAATACCTACAAATAAAATTACCTATCTACCTAGCCTATGGTGAACTTAACCTAACCCTGAAATAAACCTAAAATCAAAAAGTAAACTACCATTGCACACTTGTAAAAAATATTCTAAGGTTAAAACATACTTAAAACTAAAAGTTAAAATAAATTGAAATAAAATCTGAACATAACGAAACAAAGAGATATAAAGTTTTAAATAAAAGGCAAAGCAAAAAAAAAGGGTAAAGTGAAAAACAGATACATTTATCTCATTCAAAATACTATATGCGATGGATCAAGTTTCCTAAAATACTCGTATATCACAAAATAACCTATGACAATGTTCAGGAAATTTAGTGTGAAACAAGTGAAAAAGCGTTAAGTTCGGACGGACCGAATTTTGAAAATATAGGGAAAATACCAAAAAGCGGACTCATACCAACATTTCTGCAAACCGATTATGTAAACCATGATACAAATTTCAGAATTTTTTTAATGGATAATTATACTCTCAGCCATACGGCTAATGGAAGTGTAAACACTTTGACACAGTGAAAATGTTCTATTTTGTTTTTCTCCCCCTCATTGGTATCACGCCAACAGATACATTTATCTCATTCAAAATACTATATGCGATGGATCAAGTTTCCTAAAATACTCGTATATCACAAAATAACCTATGACAATGTTCAGGAAATTTAGTGTGAAACAAGTGAAAAAGCGTTAAGTTCGGAAATTTTGGTTTCATCCACACGTTGCCCATCTTATTATAATTCATATATAGTTCATTATCGAACCTTACGTTCTAGTTTTTTCTCTCGATATTCTCCGCAGGTGAAATGATTACAACAGAGTATTAGAACCAAACCCAAAACGCGGAACAAATTAGATAGCTATTTTAATATATAATATAATAATATTTCAGCACCCAATCTCAATTCCTTCAGAACATAGCGTGATTACATGGCTAGACGTACGGGCAGACCGGCGGACATGGCTAGTTCGTCTTAGAATTTTACCCTGATCAGAATATATATACTTTATAGGGTCGGCTATGAATATTTCGATGAGTTACAATCGGAATGGCAAAATTAGTATACCCTCTATACAATGGTGGAGTGTATAAAAATCTGTCAGTAACCAAAACTACAACAACACCTCGTTTCCACGACAGAGGGGTCTACGATGCGAAACGACCCGAGTGTTACGCGGCCAACGTGTGTCACCTCAGTCCATTGTGTAAAAGCAATAGGGCTGCTACAACAACAACTACAACAACACCTTATAAACAACACGGGAAGCTCAATACCATTTGTTTTAAACTACAAGCTTTGTGTTGTTGAGAATGACAAGTGGCAGGGTATCACTGCCTAATACTCTTGAGTGTGAGTGTGACGATTGTGGCAAAACTCTCCACACGTTATGGACACGATTAAACAAAACTGAAGTTGAGAGGCTAGCCAACGACTCCTCTGTTGAGTATTTCTGTCATTTCTATCGACCAACTGAAAACAATGGTTGTGAGATGAAGAAGTTGCTTGAAGAAATGTGAGAGAAATGAAGAAGACGATGAATTTTATGTCATCGCAATATGATACTATTTTGAAGGGAGTAAAGAAGAATTCAGAGAGCATCCGAATATTAAAAAAAGAAACTAAAACACTGCGTGAAGACTTTGAACGTTTACAATCGACAGTTACGTTTTTGAATGGAGAAAGGGTGAAAAATGATTGTGTTATTAATGGCATTCAAATTAATGATAATTCTAAACCTGTTGAAATAGTTTTAAATGTTGCGGAAACTATTGGTTGCGTTTTGCATGAGTCGGATATAGAAGATGCCTATTTCTTACGTCGTAATAACAATAACAAAGCCTCAGTTGTCGTTAAATTTTCAAATAAGAAACAAGAAGCTTAAAGATGTTGATAACATGAAGGACGTCTACATAAATGATTTCCTTACCAAGGACAATCTGGAGTTATTGCGTTATGCCAGATCGCTTAAGCCCGTGGGTTATAAATTCGTTTATGTACAAAGCGGTAGAATTTTTGCCAAGAAATATGAAAAATCAAAGCCTATTCTAATAAGAGATATGGACCAGATTAATTCACTTTTGTCCAAAACGATTGTTAGAAGAAGACAGAAAGAGCATGAAGAAGTGGATGTGTCGACCACTCGGTGGATAATGATGACAATGAAGAAATGATGATGAAGGAGCAGGGTTTTTGTCGCCCAATTAAAAAAATGATCTTATCCTGATCATGTATCTTGATTATATATTATTTTATTTTAATTAATTCTAATTATTTCTTGAATATTAAACAATATAATGAATATTTAAATAATATCAATTCAAACTTTTTTAATATTGTATCAGTGAATATTAGAAGTGTTTCCTCGTTGAATAAGTTTAATCCTTTTAAGGCCGAAATAAGTAAATTTTCCACGCTTCCCGATATAATTGCCGTGCAAAAAGCATGGTTTTCCACTCAAAATTTATCGTTATATTCTATTTTTGGATATAATATTGAGCACTGTGAGCGTATTTATGGCTTTGGAGGGACATCGTTATACATAAAGTCTAATCTGAAATATAGAACAATTGTGAATAAAAGTGAGGGTAACCTGGATGTGTTGGCGATTGAATTGGGTGATGTAAAAATTGATGGCTTTAATCTCCTAATTACCTCAATATACAGATCTCCGCGATGCAATTTCAAATCTTTTGTTAACGGAATAGAAAATATTGTGAATGATATGATACCAGGCCCCAAATTATTAGTTGGTGATTTAAATGTTGACGCCCTTTCCGCAAATGATACTAATACCAAATTAAATTGTATGTTTAATCAAGTCGATATGTATACTTGTCATAGACTCGTCACTAGACCGTGCAGTCAGAAATCAATTGATTGGGTATACAGTAATATGCCGAATAAAGTGAAGGTGTTAAGCGCTGAAAACGTATTGTCAGACCACAATTGGTTAAGTGGTCATGTACCAGCGGAGGCACGTCAATTACAGAACATTGTCGCATTTAATGCAGAATAAACTTTCAGCTCTTGATGTTGAGAATACACCTAATGCAAGTACAGTTTTTATGGAAGTTGTGCCATCGGCATTAACTCGTTCTACAAAAAGCTAACCCCATGGACAAATAAAGAATTGTTTTCACTCATATGTTTTAAAAGGAAAATTTTAAAGAAGAGAAGGAAGTTATAAGACAAGGGAAAATATCGTAATATTCTAAGAAAACTTAGCAAAGTTATAAAAGATTGCAATTATAAACTTATGAACAATTATTATATGGATGGGATAAAATCGTGCGATAATGACGTTAAAAAAGATGAAGATTTTTAAATAAGGAATTAGGACGAACTCGAGATACAATAAATGAGATTGCCACAGAATATGGAGAATGTGTTTTTTCAGATGCGGAGAAGGTAGAAGCTTTTAATAGATTTTTTGTGGAGTCTGTTGCAACATTGAAGAATACTATTGCAGAAGAAGATGATGATAACGTAAATTATTTGCATACCATTACCCAGGCCTTCAACAATTTCAGCTTGCTACTGATAACACGATGTAACATGGAGAATGCAAAAAAAACAGACAATGGTGGTATCACACCAAAGACATTGTTGGCTGCACATCCAATTTTTCCTGAAATACTGACGAACATATTTAACAAAATTATTGTTTGCTAAAAAACCTGGAGCCGAAAATATAGGTGAATTTAATCCCATTTCAATATTTTCTACCATAGACAAAGTTTTTGAAAAAATCGTTTTTGAGTAGTTGTCGGACTATGTGTCTGAAAATCACATCCTATATGAACAACAATTTGGATTCCGTAAAGGCATGGGGACTGAGGAGGCAATGATCAATGTCATGGAGACTATCTACAGGGCCTTGACTCTGGTTATAAGGGTGTAGCTGGTGTTTTCTTCGATGTTTCAAAAGCCTTTGATTTTGTACATCACGATATTTTGGTTAAAAAACTTAAAAGTATTGGTGTTTCCGGAAGCTCGTTATGCCTCTTGTCGATTCCAATATGTGCAGATTGGGAAAACTCGGAGTACATTACGAGAGATACAACATGGGGTTCCACAAGGAAGTATTCTCGGGCCGTTACTCTTTAAAATTTACATCAATGATATGAAAAATATATGTTTTTTTTTTGGAAAATTATTCATGTTTGCCTTTTTTACAATTACAACTATAGAGCAGTTTTGAAAACGCAGATTGAATACGATGCAGCCTTAATTTCAGAATTTGCACGTCTTAATAAACTAATCTTGAATTCGGCCAAAACTAAATTCATAAGGTTCAAACCAATTTTTGAAACGAGAGGGTGTTGTGTCGGTGTATATAAGTTTCGAAACAAATTATTCGCAGAAAGGAATACCAACGCGTCATTCAAATAATCTTAGAGTTATCAGATGCCGTTTAGTGGTGACAAAAAACGTATTGGATATTAGGGACCCACGCTATATAATGCTCTCCCGCAGTTTTTAAAAAATATTGACGTTTTGTCTACTTTCAAATTACATTAAAAAAAACTCTGCAATAAGTAGATTTTTTATTATGTTTGTCATGTGATATTCTTTTTAAATGCAGATATAATAATACAAATAATATTATTTATATAGTTTTTAAACATGTTGTCATTTTTGCCTCTAAGGCTGCCGCTAGACGACGCTATAAACCTCTGCGTGTGTTTTCTTATGGCATAGCGCAAAAACTGTCACAGTGGATGCTACGCTACAAGCGAGACAAAGCGAGTGCAAGCGATAAAGCGTGTTGCGCAATGGTTTATAGCAAGAGCTCGCTTTGGCTCTGTTTGAGTTTCTTTCTTTATTTTTTTTTTATTTACCGTTACAGATCGGTTTTTGGCATTTTTTGAATCTTATCGAATTTTAATGACATGGACCAATCTGTCGGGATTTTTGTGGACTCAAGTCCAAATTTAATTAAATTATAAAATAATTTGGAAAAAATAAGGGAAATCGATGCAGAAATATTTGTTCATTTCATGAATTTTCTTTTAAAAATTACTTTGAAAAGATTTTGTGATATGAAAAATTCTTCGTAGGGATCCTTCTTGAGTCAATAAACACCAGTTTACAACAGAAATAGGCGATGTAAACCAATAACACGCTTTGCTCTCTATAGCACTCAATCTGACACACTATAGCATTGAAGTAGCATGAACTATTATAGCATGTAGTATCGCATCGCTTCTCGCTTGCACTCTGACGTCAGCCTAAGGTGCAGGGGCTTTTATTTGTAAATTTGTATGAAAATAATGAAGTAAATAAATAAAAATAAAAAAATAAAACTTGAGAATTTTGTGTGTGCCACACGTCACTCTCTCATATGAGCAACACGAGTGGCTCAAGGTCAAGATCATTTTCATGTTTATGTTCACGTCTAATTTGTAGAGCTAAAAATTATGAACGAGTTTTTATTTTAGGATGCAATAGGGTGTCACAATAGACGGTATGACATAAGTCCCCAATTAAAAAAGTCCCCAAACATTAAATGAAATAAGTCCGCAATTTTTTATTCACAAAACAAAACCCACTATAACTGGGGACTTATTTCATTATTAACAACTTTATTTCATTATGAAACAACTTCCCAAAATTTTAAATAAAATACATCCCTAATGAGAATTTGGGGACTTATTTCATTTTTCTAAAATTACAAAATAATGAGAAACTAGAAAATATGTCTTTTTAGTTATTGCTGAGATACCGACTGTAATTATTGTTATGAACTAGTAGAGTTGTAAGTGCCATGGAATTTGAAATCATTGCGGTCAAAGAAATACATCAGAACAAAAAATGATTTAAAAAACTGAATACAAAAGTGTCCAAAAATTTGAATGCAGATTTAGAACATGCTGAGCTAGGGTGGATTTTTTTTTGGGAAATAAGTCTATTGACCATACTCATCCAAATGAAGAACAATTCTATATGGAATTGAATACATTAAATCATATTAGGAGTGATTGTATTGAAATTGGTAGTGTCTTGGGAGGAAATAGAACTGATAGAAATATGGTTTACCCGAAAACAAACACATAACGGTTTTGGTAAATAGGCCTTCTTTAATATATTAAATGTATAACAGCATTAATTATTCGAATGAAAATTGTTTAGTTGTGATAATAAGAAGAAATTTTAAAATCACATACAAAATTCGCGCGAAGGTCAACAACATAAACACCTAATATATGGAAGCTTTTACATACCAAAATTGTTTCAAAAAATTTCGATTTCATCCAAAATGAAATTGTCGGTATAGCACTTTATGGTATATGTCCCACATAATGGTAGGCATATCGGTCCAGTTCCTCTTTCAAAATATATTTTTCAAGATTTTCGCGTATTTTTCTCACAATTTTTTTTCATAAAAACGTTCCCACTTCAATTAGAAAGAAATTTTTAATCATATCGATCCCGACGTTCCCAATTCATATAGATTGCTATACATTGTTTACATCATTTTTAAAATCTATTTTCGTTTGGCTCCCATGCGCTTTTCTCGAAAACAGGTTATGTATGAATTGTTGTTTCTTGTTGAAGAAAACATTGATGGATATCAATTCTCATCTCATTATCGCATCAACAAATTACTATACTAACACCAGGTACGTAAACTCAGATTTCGTCAAAAGTGAGTTACCGCGAGTGTTAGTCTTTTTTGGTTTGTCAATTTCTAACAATATTAAATTTGGCATTGGTCGGCTTCCAGTTATATCTACGCGTGTGCTTTCAATCGTTCACCTATTCACCAAAAATACAGTCCACATTTGTTTCTAGTGTAGTGATCATATAAAGTATTGTTGATCGTTAGAGAACAAATCCGTGTTGTTGCTGTTGCTTTGCTCTAAATTGCTTATTTTTAATCTCGCCATAACAACACACATGTCCCGTTCTCATTTCTTGGGCAATCTAAGTCGTTTTAGTTGACCACTCCTTTTGTAAATACGTGCGTTCTTCTATAGCAAATATTAAGTCTATCGCCTTGTACTGATCACCCTACGTCGCGTTGATCATACAGAAGCATTCGGTGTTGTTGTTACCACCATTCTTCGCCTTAGCTTTGTTAATCTCATTAAAAACGTCAGTGAGAATTCGAAGTAATATTGGTTTATTTGTTGTTTTTTCCCCTCACCAAACAAACATATATCATTTTTCTCGATTTCTCATATTTGTACTAACAACAAACATCTTGTCCTAAATTCTTGTTCGTTTAGATTATTTGTTGTCTTTTTCCTCAAACAAATTCGTCTTGTTGTTATCCCCCTCGCTTGTTCTCCAAGCTGAGAAATTACATTGTAATATTAGCAATAACAACATATACCTCTTCACCTATTGTTCGTTTCCTAGCGTCACCTTGGTATAATAGAAAATATACCAGCAATTGTTGTCGACTCCAACTCTCACTGTTGGATCGTTTCTCGCGTCGTGTGTAGTGTGGGTGCGTAGCTGCTAACGCATAGATATTTCGCTGCTAGCGTTGCTTGTGTTTTATTCCGCTTTGTGTGATATTCGCTATTCACCACACTACAGCACAGCGACAAAATTGTGAAATTTAAAAAATATATTAAAAATATTTTTGAATTATTTTTGAAAAAATATTGATTACTAGTGGGGCTTTTTATATTTTTGGACAAATTCACCCTACATTCGGAAGCTATTGCACACAATCGAAGCATAAAAAGTATTTGTGAAAAATATTAATTTTTTGAATATTTCTCCGATTTTGTTGTTGTTTTAAATTCAAACTATTGAACATTAGTCATTTTTCTAAGGCATTCAAAAATTTTTGGATTTTTGCACCCTAGACTTGGCAATATAGTACACTATTCGTTGTCGTGTTTTTGCTCAAAAACTTTGTATATTTGATATATTGTTGTACTACCTCAAACATTTTTGGACATTTGCACCCTACAATCGGCAGTTACATATATCCAAGCAAAATTACTTGCTAAAAATATTGTTTTTTGACAAATTAATCTATTGTGGCTGAGATTTTACACATTAATTTTGCTCAGGGGATATATTCTTGTTTGCTTTTTGGACAACCGCACCTGATTATTTGCATTAACCTCCTTAACTACACCCTACAATTGGTAGATTTTGTATAATTTGAAAAAAATACTTGTTTTTTGTGGTCTTTTTAAAGTAGTTTGGCATCGTGAAGAAATTCTTCAAAAATTGTCTTCACTTTTACTACTTTAATATAGACATTTGCAATATGTTACAAAATTTGTCCAAATTTTTGAGTTTTTGCAGAAATATATTTTGAGCTGTAGCAACATTTGTTTTCATTCAATTACTATACTATATGAACGTAAATTCAGATTTCAAGTGAGCTTCATGTTACAAATCTAGTAAACGACACAAGTTTTGTGAATGGGTGACTTGTGTATTCAAACGATATTAGTATTTACTAATGTGATTAATTTCTATTATGGGTGGGAGATTTGGTGTCAGGAACTGAAGCGGTCAGTATATACCCGAATATAGACTTTTGGGCCAACAACGAATTTAAAACTAATTTTGGTGGTTTAGCTTCCAGTATGTGGGGGTAAAGAGCGCCAAGTAGCAAATCTATTTGGCTGCCGTCAAAGGAGTCAGCTAAATCTAAAGGAATTTTAGATTTCAAAGTTGCAATAGGTGGATGTGAGATCAATTTCCCCTTAACAATAGGCCGAACAAACGACTTTGCTTCAACAATTTTAGTTAACGAGTTCTTGGGAGAAATCAACTTAATTAGACACATTTCTCTTGGTGTAGCAGGGTTGGATTCCTTCTTCGAATTACCAGAAATGCCAAGTGAATTTTTAAGGTTTTTACTTACAACAGATACCTTGGAGGAAGGATCAATAATGGCACGAACAGGATGTGTTTTTCCATTATGAACTACATTTACTACTGCTGTTCCTATGAGAACATTGGTATCTTGGGAGGGGTGAGGTATCGGTGGATTTACAACTTTCTTATTCGAAAAAGGGTGCGACAAATTATATGCTCGGCTTTTGACTTTAGTAAAAGCCGGAGAAGGTTTTTCCGATGAACGAGGCAACCAAGTTTGTCCTCGACTTTTGACCTTTGTAAAGGCCGGAGGTGAATTGGAGGGAGCAACAACCTTATTAATTGGTGGACGGTGAAGAAGGATGTGGTGCCTTTGCTTGCAAGTAGTGCAACTATGTTTACTATTGCAGGTTTTAACTGCATGACCACGAGATAAACAATTTACACAACATTTATTTTTCATTACAATCGAGAATTTGTCCTCAAACGAAAGTTTTAAAAACTGGGGGCGGAGTCGAAGATGATGGCTCTGGTCAAGACAAATGGTGCAAGCAGTTGTGGAGAGTGAATTAATAGGTCGAGGTTTGGTAACACATTTTGTATGATGTGCCGACAACAATTTATTGGGGGATTGAGGTGTAGCGGTATTACTAGGTGACAACTTCTTAGCGGAGGAATGCTTTTTCGTTGGCAACAACTTATTTTTGGAGGGGAGGACGTGTTTTAGACAAATCAATGTTTGTATCCTCTCTGCTAATTCTACCCAAGAGGACAACGACGTTTTTTTTACTTTGCTCCCAAAGAGTCAAAGTCATTTTTGGCAAACGCTGCAAACAAATGTAAACAACAATCGGATCCCATGATCCGTGGTGACGTCATAGACTGACATTGCAGCAAGGCAACTATTTATCCCACGTTGGATAGTTTTCAGGCCAGAAATAGTTTCACTGTCTAAAGAAGGGATTTCAAACAAACATTTGAGATGACAATTTACCACAATTCGTTTATTATACGTATCAGACAAAGCTTTCCAAGCTAAAGGGAAACTAGATTTGATGAATAGAAATCTGGAAACGATTTCACGAGCCTCACCGCTGATCTTCTGTATTAGGTGACAGAGACGTTCCATGTCTGATATTTGAGAATTATTTACAAATATGGTGGTGAACAGATCCCGGAAAGTGGGCCAAGATAAAAAATTCCATCAAAAAATTTCAATGCCGATAGGGAAAACAACAAGACTATGCTTATCGACAGGTGGATTGGTGTACTATTGATGGTGGAAGAATTTTGAAATTCTGAAGCAACTATAGGAGTGGTGGACTGCAGAGTATTCAAAGATGAAGGTGGCATATAGTTGTGACTATTTGGTGGAGATGGTGAATTTGGTGGAGCTTGTGAAACTGGTGGAGCTATAGCAGGGGAACACTTACTTACAAGACTTTGAAGGCGATTGAGATGCCTGTTTATGGTGGATAGACACCACGAATACGCAATAAATGCTGTATTTTTCCTCAACGACATCAAATATATTAACCTGTGCATTCTCTGATGTCGCAAGGTATGTTTTGCACTCATCATAGGTGCACATAACTTTATCCCATAACTCTCGAATTTCTGTATTGTGAATTTCGAAGTTGTATGCAGTATACTGGGATTCTGGAATCTTTTCAAAGAATTCCACACTTTTGATGACAATGCCAGTGGCTCTATTGAACCGGGTGAGATGAGTTATCGACATTATGCATGGTAAAGAGTAGAGAAAACACAATAGATGATATATAATAATGCCGTGAAACAAACATAAACAACAAAGTATGAGGGAATAGTAATTGAATGACAACAAATGTTGCTACAGCTCAAAATATATTTCTGCAAAAACTCAAAAATTTGGACAAATTTTGTAACATATTGCAAATGTCTATATTAAAGTAGTACAAAGTGAAGAAATTCTTCTTTGTACTATTTTAATATAGACATTTGTCATATGTTACAAAATTTGTAACATATTGCAAATGTATATACTGACCCCTTCAGTTCCTGACACCAAATCTCCCACCCATAATAGAAATTAATCACATTAGTAAATACTAATAACGTTTGTTTACACAAGTCACCCATTCACAAAACTTGTGTCGTTTACTAGATTTGTAACATGAAGCTCGTAGAAAGGGGGGCCGGAATGTATAAGTTTGATACGTTCTGACTCAACTTCCCGAGATCAGTCAATCACGTCTGATGATTGACACCACGGGCATATCCTCTGCAAGCAGGTGCAGATCCCACCAAACGGTGGTTGTTGCTGGTTTGCTCTCCTTGCTGGACACTTTTCTCCCATTGGAATATTGTAATATAGTAGTAAACGACAACCGATCCTCAGCGATCACCGCAATCCTCTGTGATTGCATGAGCTCCATCGTGTTTTTGGCCTAGCAAATATATATTTATTGATGAAAAAAAAATCTAAAAAATATGTTCCTCTCTCTTAACATAATAATACAAGCGAGAGAGTATTTTCAAAGTTTGTATCATTTTAATTTGAAAGTCAACAATTTTCGTATGTGATACGAATGTATATGACGATTGCTTCAATTTACTTACCGCGCATATTAAAGGGGTCGTAACACACCAACAAAATTTCCACCAGATGATTGGATAATATCCGATCATATCTTTAATGCCATCGTAAAAGCGATCGACACCATAGCACCAGGAAATGGATATACACTCAAAGAATATTAACCAAAGCAAACAGAAGCCACTAACAGCATATGAATCCAGTAATTGAAAAACATACATTCCACCCTTTTAAAATATGTTAAAAGATAATTTTATGTATTAACATCAACATTTACCTGTGATATGCAAGAAATACCCAAGCAGTAGCTTAATGTGCACACTATTGCAATAAATAGTTCCTTACGCTTTCGCAGGAATTGAGGCCATTCGTCAATTATAGCTGTTATAAAGCCTTCCATAGTACAGAATTGAGAATCAAGGCCGATAAGTAACAACATAAAGAAGAACAAACATGACCAAAGAGCTGATCCCGGAAGTTGCAAAACTGCCGATGGATACACTAAAAATGCTAAACCTGGACCAGATGCCGCTACTTCTGATACGGAACGTTCTTGTTCATGTGCCATAAATCCAACAACAGAAAAAATTACAAAGCCTGCAAACATACTTGTACTTGAATTTATAGTACAAACTAGTAAAGCATCTCTTAAGAATTTATTTCAAGATCAACCCAAAATCGTAGAAAATAACTTCTTCATTATCATTACATATTACTGCTCAACTTTTATGTACTTAATCTTAATGTATAAAAGAGCTTAGTGCTATGTGAGTGACTGACTGACAGGTTATCGCCCATACGAAACTTCTGAAGGTAGAAGCTTTAAATTTTTAGTGTGGGTTGTTGTTGGTGTGTAGACGTGAGATAAGGCTGGGTTTTTGGAAAGTATACTAAATGGTACTATATTTGGTACCACTTGATTACGTGTGAACGGATAGAGCTGTACTCCAGAATCTTGGAATTAAAATTACTGTTGGAGTGTATGAGTTCGAAAAGTACTGAATTTAGTGAAATTAGGAGTACGATAATTATATGGATTTAGTCTTGCAAATGTGTACCTATGTGTTCGGAAGGTGCTGAATGTAACAAAATGTGGAATATATACGCATTTGCTAAAATATATAATTGGAATTCTGATCACTGTTGAATCTGCATAGTGGAAATAAGAAAACATTTCGAAAATTAGTGCATTTGTGTGTGAATAGTACTAAATAGTAAAAGTAAAGTACTAAATCGTAAAATCAATATCAGATGTTACTAAACAAGATATCAAAAACTGTGCTGAATTGTGTTTGCTTAGCACAATTTTTCGTCAATACTTTGGGAAATTTTTAGTCGTGTAATGACCATTTGCAACCAAAAATGCTTCATTTACGTTTTATATATTTCATATATATCACTATGTTCATGGACTAGTTTATTTATTTTAATGCGAAATAAAAATTAGTTTATGTTAAGGCAACTATAACCATATATTATTAAACGCGCACAACCCTAAATACATATTATACAAAGTTTTCGACAGACCATCACTGTTTAAATAAAAACACAACACCACAATATAATATATAATAAAATAATTAATTAAAATATGAAAATTAAACAGCATGCTATTATATTTTTCTATTTGCTATTTACCAATGCCATATACATTTTCGTAAAACTCCGCAAACTCTCTTTTTGGAAACTGATATCAAGGATTTATTTTATTTTTTCATTCATATTTGTATACCCTCCACCATAGTATGGAGGGTATATTAATTTTGTCATTCCGTTTGTAACTCACCGACATATTCATTTCCGACCCTATAAAGTATATATATTCTTGATCAGTGTAAAATTCTAAGACCTAGCCATGTCCGTCCGTCTGTTGTAATCACGCTATCTTCCGCAGGAATTGAGATAGGGTGCTGAAATTTTGTACATTGGGTTCTTATTGGGTACTCAATGTCTCCACAAAAAATTATAAATATAGGTTCACTTTTTCTGTTAGCCCCCATATAACGGTACCTCCTCATTTTCAGTATTTTGGGGGTTTTGGTCGTATTTTTCCACCGAATTGGCTGTAATTTAGTACTTTAAATTCTTAAAAATTTCCAAATTACTCCACAAAAAATTATGAATATAGGTCCATTTTTTCTAGTAGCCCCCATATAAGGGTACCCCCAAATAACGGTATTTTGAGGTTCTTGAGCGCGTTTTTAAACTGAATTCGCTGAAATTTGGTATATTGGGTTCTTTTTGGGTACCAAATATCTCCACTAAAAATTATAAAGATAAGTCCATTTTTTCTGGTAGCCCCCATATAAAGGTACCCCCTAATTTAGGCATTTTGAGGTTCTTGAGCGCCTTTTTCAACCGAAATCACTGAATTTTGGTATTTTGTAGCCGTATATGGAAACAAATCTCCCTACCAAAAATTATTAATAGTCACCCCTGTTAGGCGTAGTCCCCACATAACCCCATTTTTTATATTAATATTATTATCTGATTTTTCCGCGTTTTGGGTTTGGTTCTAACACTCTATTGTAATCATTTCACCTGCGAAGGATATCGAGATAAACAACTGGAAAGTACGGTTCGATAATGAACTATATGTGAACTATAGCCCGCATTTAGGCTTAGCCGTAGCCCCTGTGTGGGAGGTACCAGAAGGGATGGACTTGAACTAAATTTGGAAGACATACTAAGATAGGATGAAATCAAATGTTTCTGAAACGGATTTGGTCCAAAGAAACATGGGGTCTAGAACCAATATTTCGATGAGGCACATTTTCAGCGTGTGAAAGTGTATACACACTAATTAGCCATAAGGCTGAGGGTATAATTTTCTATTAAAAATTATTGTTTACATAATCGGTTTGTAGAAATGTCGGTATAGGTCCATTTTTGGTATGTTCCCTATATTTTAATTTCAAGTACCTGCCAGTATATCTATGGTGGAGGGTATCCAACGTTCGGCCCGGCCGAATATATCTATATCTACTGCCTACATATTAAATATAAGATCTAAAACATTTTGTTGCCTGTGGGCAACATTGGGCCATGAAGGGTTAATATTAAGCTAGTAGATATATATTCTTTGGATTACATATGTCAAGACCTTATTGACGACACATATCAACAGAAAAATTAAAAACAATATTTTTTTGGTAAAGTTATGAGCTTTTCAATGTGGAGAAGAGGGCTAACATGTGTACAGTACTAATTTGTGTATACAGTTAAACTATTTAAATCGCTTCATACTCGAATTGTACGAATTTTGCAATAATAATTATTTTTGATTCTTTTGATTCGATTTTTGTAAAAATAAATGTAGAAAAAAATTTAAAATTATTGTTTCGATTTTCAATTTGGTTTTCTTGATACTGGACTTTTTTTCAGAAAAATATACTGTTTCTTCCGAATGCAAGGATGTAGCGATGCCAATTTTTGTTCATATCCTATTTAGGATAGTTGCATTAAATCTGTGAACAGTAAATTGTTCTTTAATCACGGAAAAAAATCGGGCACAAAGGTTTAAAAGTGTCAGATCACAATAACATGCATATTCGGTGTCAGTTGCTTTCCGAAACAAACCGTCTGTCACAAAGTACCCGTTGTTTGTTTGGTTTGAATTTTGTTTAGCTTGTAGAATTTTACACTTTTTCGTTTATTAACTTTGTCCCTTTAGATGGAATAAAATGCAGTTTTGTTGTTTTTATTTTTCTATTATTGGTTCGACATAAAAAAAGTTCAATTTCATCTTTATGATCTTCCACACACTCGTCACAAGGTCAAAATATAAACCAGTAAGGAAAGTAGTAAAGTCGGACGGGGCCGACTATATGATACCCTTCACCACTATGGGTATATTAAACAGGACTATTAACATGAAATTGGATGAAATAAAATATGTGATATTTATCTAAATGTGAATCTACCTAGATCTATCCATAAACATGTCATTCGTTTGTTACAATGGGACAAAAGTATGTAAATCGACTTCAAACAAATATAAATAGGTCATCCGTTGGGCTATATCTGTACTTCTAGAAAACGCAACTACGTAATTCTATGCTCAATTTTCTAAGTTGTGCAAAATTTGATGTCAATCTGACTAACATGAGCAGTTTGATGCCCAATTTAATTGAAATCGAAATATGGAAGCTTTATCAAAATATTAAGCGATTTCAAACAAACTTGTCACAGGTTAGGTTATACTAATTTCAGAACGTTTTGTTCCTATTGGTTCCTTGGTGCGTCAATTACTTAAAATCAATCTATAATAAAAGGGAGCTATATCTAACTCTAGGCCGATTTTCACGAAACAAGGCAGACATCACTCTAGGCTCAATTCAGTACGTTATGCCAAATTTCGTGCAGATCGAAGGATATATAGGGACGTTGGTGCACCATTTACATGAAATCGGACCAAACTATATATGGGAGTTTTATTTAAATCAGGACCGATTTTCTCAAAACTTGGTAGACATCACTCTAGGCTCAATTCAGTATGTCATGCCAAATTTCCTGCAAATGGAAGGATATATAGGGACTTTGGTGCACCATTTACATAAAATCTGACGAAACTATATATGAGCTATATCTAAATAAGGACCGATTTTCTCGAAACTTGGCAGACATCACTCTAGGCTCACTTCAGTACGTTGTGCCAAATTTCCTGCAAATCGATGGATATATAGGGACTTTGGTGCACCATTTACATGAAATCGGACGAAACTATATATGGGAGTTATATCTAAATCAGAACCGATTTTCACGAAACAATACAGACATCACTCTAGGCTCAATTCAGTACGTTGTGCCAAATTTAGTGCAAATCGAAGGATATATAGGGACTTTGGTGCACCATTTACATAAAATCGGACGAAACTATATATGGGAGCTATATCTAAATCTGGACCGATTTTCTCGAAACTTGGCAGACATCATTCTAGGCTCAAGTCAGTACGTTATGCCGAATTTCGTGCAAATCGAAAGATATATAGGGACTTTGGTGCACCATTTACATAAAATCGAACGAAACTATGTATGGGAGCTATATCTAAGTTAGGACCGATTTTCTCGAAACTTGGCAGACATCACTCTAGGCTCAATTCAGTACGTTGTGCTAAATTTCGTGCAAATCGAAGGATATATAGGGACTTTGGTGCACCATTTACATGAAATCGGGCGAAACTATATATGGGAGCTATATCTAAATCTGGACCGAAACTTGGCAGACATCACTCGAGGCTTAATTCAATACGTTATGCCAAATTTCGTGCAAATCGAAAGATATATAGGGACTTTGGGGCACCATTTACCTGAAATCGGACGAAACTATATATGGGAGCTATATCTAAATCTTGACCGATTTTCACGAAACTTGGCAGACATAATTCTAGACCTAAATGATTAGGCTGTACCAAATATCGTGCAAATCGAAAGATATATAGGGACCGTTTACATTAAATCGGTTAAATATATATATGGGAGCTATATCTAAATCTGAACCAAACAAATCAGCTGTGCCAAATTTCATCCAATTCGGATCATAAATGCGACCTGTACTTTGCTCACAAAAATACATGGACAGACAGACGTACGGACGGACGGACATGCATAAATCGACTTAGATAGTGATTCTATGCATATTCTCAAAAGGAACCATGT